CTTACATAATAGATTAAAAAAGAATCCTTCACCATGGACGGATAGTCATACTAAAGCAGTTCAACTAATCAAACAAAAAGTCAAAACCCTAGTTTGCCTTTCTCTTTCTCATCCTACTGCTTTCAAAATAATTGAATGTGACGCCTCCAAATTGGGATTATGAGGTATTCTCAAGCAACGCATTGATAGTCGTGAACAACTACTCAGGTATACTTCTAAAGCTTGGAATCCAACCCAACAAAACTATTCTATGGTAAAAAAAGAATTACTTGCCATAGTCCATTGTGTTACGAAATTTCAAAGTGATATTCTCAATCAACAATTCCGTATTCGAACTGATTGTAAATCCGCTGAAGATATTCTGCAAAAAGATGTTCAAAATCTTGTTTCCAAACAAATATTTGCTCGCTGGCAGGCTATCCTGTCTGCTTTTGATTTTACTATTGAACACCTTCCCGGGTCTTCAAATTCTCTTCCTGATTTTCTCACCCGTAAATTTTTGCAGGGGGGCAACACTGACGCTAACAACGAATCACCACTATCACTTGCATTATAGCTCTTTGCAGCCAATCAAAATAATACTACTCTATCCAATCCACCTACTCTCATGGGCTCTCGTAGCAATTCTTCTCGCAATGAGAAACGCCCTCTGATTATAATACCATTTGAAGGTGAGAACCCGCCTTTGGCAACCCTTTCACCTTCCATTTCTCTTATTCACCAAATCACTTACCCAAAGACTAATACATCCACTCCCGCCTATATTCCAGCGCAATCAAAACCAAACCAGAGGCCTAAGTTTCCTAGGTCTGCATATATTGAAAGAGCATATCTTATGGATATTACCATTGATGATCACCATACAAATATAGACCCTATCAAACTTGCTCCATTATACCTGATAAACCATATAAATCCAATCAATGGAGTCAAAACTAGAGAATACTATGAAGCAATCCCCATGGAAACATGATCCATCTCTGTTGTCCATTGTTATCAACAAAATACTAGAGTTATTGCATACTCCAAAATCCAGATCAAAAAATTACTTTCTTATGATGAGTGGGGTTGCAATCCTGCTCAAGGGAAAAAACTACACAATCCTGATTTTTCATATAAATACTACAAGTATGCCGAATACATAGAAGCATGGCATAAAATGTTTTATTACCAAAATCCAAACAATACTCATAGTTGGTATATCCAGTTTCGTTTACCCATTTTCAAAAGATTCCCCAACTGGCTTAAAAATTGGTTTTTAGTTTGGGGATCAACTACTGCAATTTTACCTCCTGCTTTCCAAAAAGTGCAGGGACAATTTGTGATATTCAATAATAGTGATAATAATACAGACAATCACTTATACTTTGTTGTACTATACCAACTCCCATGGATTATGAAATGAGAATACTCAATCTCTGTCAATAATACAGCCGACCATACCTATATTCCAAGACTGGGCAAAACCATCTCAGTTAAATGGTGGGACATCTTTAATATGGATCCCACAACCATAGTTCCCAAAAGAATACCTTCATAAAAACCTATATATAACCCAAATCCAAGTGAGCATAATACAGCCAATACTTCATTTGACTTCCCCACATATTTACGAAATATGCTTCAATCAAACCCAAATGCTTCCAAAGAAACCTTGGAATAACAAATGAAGGAAATATTTGTAGAAGCAGGAAGGAAACCGATATCATCAGATGAAACCGTACAATCCTCACCAGCACACAACAATAGATATTTTCCACTGGAAGAAACAGACCCAAAAGAAGAAGAAGAAGAAGACCCCAATGAATTCAGCCAAAGACCTTAATGATGCTTCACCGTACCATGTCACCTCATAGGATGCTTTCCGTACCACATGTCATTTTCAAGCTACTATATCAAGATACTCTCCGTACCATATACTGTGGTTGCCGACACATGCGACAAAGCAGATACTGTAGCTGCCGACACATAGGACAAATCAGGCAATGTTCTGCCGACATGAAACGACAAGAATTACTATTTAAGATGCTTCTTTAAGCATCTTTCTTTTTCTTTTATCATCTTTTATTTGCTATACGTCTCTTCTCCCCTCTTTTAGTCACATCAAGTCACTTTCCCATTCTTCCTTCCTCGTTAAGCTACCTCAGCCTTCGCTTATATAAAGAAGCACCCTTCCTCATTTCCAGCAAGTCTCGAATGTCTCCGAACTCTCTTAATCTCTATGCTCTCTTCATCTCTCTGCTCTCTTCGTCTCTCTGCTCTCTTAGTCTCAAGACTACGACTACCATATTATTCCACATGCTGTCCTGACCTCACAGCTAGAACTTATCTCATGCTATCCAGGTTTTTCCTATCTTTTTGATTCACCAAAACCAGGTTCTCTCTTATCCTTTTATCTTATATTTCTCTGTTTAAATGTGTGACTGTAACTTCCATACACTCCCATCATACTGTCCTCACCACTGGAAGTTATTCTCCAGTTATTGTATCTGTAAGCAATAAGTGTTTGTTTTTGTAAGATTTGTTTTATACAGTTAGTATGCTTTTATACAAATGGTTTGTAATCTTTCTGTATAATCTGGTATGAAATCTAATGCAGTTTAAACTTGTATTCAGTATTAAAATAGGTAATCACACACACACATCGTGGTTTGTTAATGATATTTCTGCTATTCCTTTTATCATAATAACATTATTTTGCCTCAATTATATTCGAATATTACAAGAATTAATTAAATATAATAGTATGCTATTTGCTTACTTGTTATAAAGTACATGGTTTAAAATTACTGTAGATCTTGGCGCATTTTGGTATCAGAGCCAACA